TAGAAATTTAACAAAACAAACTGTTAGAAGTCAGATCTGGCAGGATGTAGAAAGTGGTTTTGTTATAGGGATGGCAGTGTTGGTTCAGCATTGGAAGATCCACCCTCAAAATTCATCATTTTAACAGAGGAAAGGAAAAAGCCATGTGATCCTGTCACTAGTTGGAGAAAAAGTATTGGACTAAAAATTCTACAGCTGTTCATGGTAAAAGCTATCACTAGAAGTAGAACAGAACCTTCTCATAAAGACATGTACTCCATACTTCCAGCAAGAACACCTTATATGAATGGAGAAGATACAATGCTTTCTCCTTGAGGGGAACAAGGGCAGATATGCTTACTCTTTATCTGCCCATTAAGACTGGAAATAATTCATTTCTTTTTTTCTGTTCTACACCAAGATATCCCCAATAAGCTAATTCTGTTCTTAAGAAGCTCTGTTCTTCTCAAGAATGCCCCATATCGGGCTCCAAATTATACTATGAGATGTTCCTTTGGAGACAACAATCTTACTAGAGTGTTCCGCTCAAGGTCCCTTTCAAAAATACTTACGTTCAGTTTTAACTTACATTATACCCTATGAAAAAGATGCTGGAATACAGCTTCCTCTGTAAATATAGGAGAGGGACAGAAAATATGTCTCACATCCTTAGGAAATCATTCCAAGAGTCAGAAAGCAATCCGTTGAGTACTCACTCTCAATGTTTTAAACAGAACCTGTAGTAATTGCAAAACAACTGTGCAATCAACAAAAATTAAGAGGCAGCTACATACCAAAACTATACAGGGTGCTAGACACATACTGGGTAGTGAGCCAATAAGGGCTCTCTCAACCAGGTTTATTCTCTAACACAGAATTAAATATAAGAAAACAAATAACGAAGCTGGGCATGGTGCTACATGCCTGTAATCCTACCTACTTGGAAGGCTGAGGCAGGAGGATCACAAGTTTGAGGTCAGTATCATAACTCAAAATAAAATAAAAAAGGGCTGGGGATATAGCTCAATATTTCCTGGATACAATCCCCAGGAAAGGAAAAGGGGGAGTTGGGGGAAAGAAAAGACAGGAAAAAAGAGATGAATTGCTCCAATGCAACCAGAATATAAAGGATGAGAAAAGGAGGGCAAAGAGTTACTGAGGCCTCAAAGAAAGGAGTGAAATAGTTGAGAAATAAAAGGCTGAGGCCCTAAAGATGTTTCCAGAACCAAAGAGAAGCCAGTTTAGGGAAAAAGAACTGATCTCTCCAAATCTAATCTATTATGATTTCCACCTCAAGAGCTGGAAATGCTTAACTGTCAACATTTTATGCTACCACAGTAAGGCTTTATGAAACTGTTGCATTTTAAAATGGGCCTTGACAAGTCACATAGAGTTTTGACAAATGGAGAGTCATACAGTGCTTTGGGCAGAGGAAACACCCTAGATAGGTTTGTGTGATTGTGACCAGGTTTGGCTGACATGGAAGGACAACCACAGGCTGTGACAAGGAAATAAAGGTAGGCTGTACCAGGAAAGGGAGAAACAGAAGCAAAGTCTTTGTAAATAGGGAAGGGAGGGCAGGGGAATGGGGAAAAAATAAGAACCAGGATACATCATGTAAAGGTACAAGATCCCAATGGTGAATGTAACTGTATCATATACCTAAAATGTACCAGTAAACTAAACGGAAAAAAAACCAAACTTGAAGCCAAGGTCAGTTGTTTAAGGCTGTAGATTGGCAGAGATCCATCTTTTAAAGCCAAAGACTTCACAGAACTCATTTTTACTACGTTGAGCATGGACTACGATTTTTGTCATTTTTATTCATTCTAATTCCATATATTTTTTATTGAGAACTCTTAGAAATAGAGCTTACTGTCTGCTTAAAGATGGGGGTGGGAGGATGAAGATGACAGGTGGGGAACTGCTGGGGGACAAAAGGGGGACAGCAGAGCCTCCAGGCTGCACTGATTCTCCAATGGACCAGAACTCTGAAATAGGAATGTGGAGGACTGCCGGTTTCAACTCCAAAATAAAGCCAATGGACTAGTTTCTGAGGCTGCTGAAATGACACTAGGACAGCATAAGAACCTTCAGGAAACCTGTACATCCCACCAGAGCATGTGAGAAGACTGTCTTTTGTGAACCCTGGTGGTCACTCCTATCACTGAATGGGTGTCAGGAGCACAGACAAAGCCGCTCAGTCACACAACACAATGAGAGCAGATTAGAAGGTCCCTTTAGTTATACAGGGCAGGGCAGCACTTTCAAGGTAACTGTAGTGATCCGTATGATTGAAATGTCTAAATTTGGTGTCGTTAAAAGGGGTTGTGAAAAGGGCATATCCTTTGAAGCTGGACAAACCTGAATTTCAAATCCAGGTTTCCTACTCGCTAGTTGAGTGATCTTGGAAAAGTTACTTAACTTCCTCAACTTGAGATACCTCCTTTGTAAAAAGCAAAAACTATACTCAAAGTTGTGGAGAGGGCTGATAACATGGTATGTAGAAAACCTGTCTTACAAAGTTCCTGGTACACAGTTGCTGTTTGTTTCTTCCCTCTTAGGGAAGTCAGGGCCAGATAACAGGGAAATTACTAACAGCTGAACATCCTGTAAGCTTCCAAGTTCAACTTCCTTTATTAAAGCTTTTAAGAACAGTACTAAGTAATAGCAAAATAGATCTATTTCCCTTTTCTTTGCTACTTAGTAAAACAGGTACTAATGAACAGAAAATATGTCAGATGTATACACTTATAAGGCATAAGAATGACTCCTACAACTCAGTAGGAAAACAGAAATAATACCATCTTCAACAGGATATGAGTAGCAATATCACCAAGGAAGGAATACAAGTGGCCAACAAGTGTATGTCATGGTGCAGATCTAAAATGCCCCTCAAAATTCTATGTGTTCAGAAGAGGGGATTTTGGAAGGTAATTGGATCATGAGGGCTGTAACGTCATAGATGGATGAATCATATGAGATCATAATTTGATGGCACTATTGGAAGAGAAATTTGGGAGCTGGAGCCTAATTGACGGGAGTGGATCATGGGGCATGACCTTCAGGACTAGATCTGCTCCTTGGCCCATCCCTCTCCATCTCTTTCCCTTTCTCTCAGCTCCCTGTCTGTCAGGAGGTGACATGTTATGAGGTGAGCTTTCCTCCGCCACACCCTCCCACCACAGTACTTCTGCCTCCCCACAGACCTAAAAGCAATAGAACTATCAATCAAGGACAGAAACCTCTGAAACCATGAGCCAAAATAAACTTTTCCTCCTTTAAGTTGATTTTCTCACAGCAAGCAAAAAGCTAACACATTAACCAGGAAAATACAAATCAAAACCATCATGAGATGCCCCTTTGCATTCACTGGGATGGCTAAAATCAAAAGGAGGATGTGGAGAAGTTAGAGTCTTCACATATTGCTAGGGAGACAGTAAAATGGTATGGTCACTATGAAAATCTGTCCTGCAATTCCTCAAAATATTAAATGTATAGCTACAATAAGATGCAGTAATTCCATCTATAGGTATTAGTGCAAAAGAATTTAAAATATATGTTTACACAAAAAAGTACATAGTAATGTTTGTACTAGCATTACAATGGCCAAAAAGTAAAAAACAACTCAAATGCCAAAAACTAGGTGGATAAACAAAATATGGTATATTCATTCATTCAATGGAATATTGTTCTACCATAAAAGTGAATGAAAGATTAATAATATGCATGATGCCTGAAAACTTTGTGCTAACTGAAAGGAGCTAGGCATGAAATTATGAATTGTCTTATTCCATTTATGGATGATATCCAGAATAGGCAAATCGGTAGAGACAGTAGGTTTGTAGCCCGAGGGCTGAGGTTTAGGACCAGGGTAATAGAATATAAAAGGATATGGTATTTCTTTGAGGGGCAGTCAAAATGTTCTAAAATTGATCATGGATAACAGTTGTAAAATTCTGTGAATTTATCAAAATCATTTCATTAAACAGTTTAAATTAATGAATTATTTGGTATGTGGATTTTACATCAGTAAAGATATAAAAAGGTAGAAGGATGGATGGCCAAGTCCTTACAACTGCCTGCTGTTTCTGCCTGAGGTCACAGGGCCCACCCTCAGTGTGCAGAAGCGGGAGGGAATCCAACCACATCACAATGCCCAGGGGAGGTGACCCAAGTGGGCTTTCTCAAGTCATACAATGTTATTCTCTCCTTGGGTAGAGAAGTAGCATTAGTATCTGACCTTGGCAATGGATACTCTTGGGGCATGGTCTTGCTTTGTGGCTTCTGACAAAGGGCCAGTTCCTCACATATTATGTAGCCTCAACCCCAGTTTGCAAAGAATTAGTGGGACCTGACACTTCTTAGCGTCATTAGTGAATGTAAGTCTCAAACCAGCCTGCTTCTCAAGCACAACGTTCAGTACATTTCATCCAAATCTCCCCTCGGTCATACAATCCAGAGTTTATACCACAAATGGACCAGAAAGTCCCTTCCCCCAAAATGACTGAATTTTAATTTTCTGACTTCAAAAGCCAATTTTCTTCATAAATCTGAGTTCTGTGGTGTTAGACTCCTACTTTTTATGAGTATTCATAGTACTTTTTAAAGAAAGGAAAAAAGAATACCATAGAAGAGGACCAGGATAAGGTTATACTGAAATGAAGTTACAATCTCTTCCTGTACTTACTTCCATACTTAGGTCATTATTCATCCTGATGCAACCCGAACGATCTGGTCCCGGGTTGGGGCCACTTGTGGGGCTGAGGCACCTGGGGGTACAAAGTACAGATATTTTCTACAAATGGAAAAGCTGAAAAATTTACAGATCCCTAACTGTAACATAGTTCCTACTCTCCCACCCCTAGTCTATGAAATTTCTAATGAAAGCCATGGTTTAAGTCCATCAGAGAGAGGTTCCTAACAACAGAAAAGCCAGCCAAAAATGAAAATGAAGAATTTGCAATTCAAAGTCTTGCTTCCTCAACCCTTAGCACAGAAAGGAAATTTCACTGGGGGTAGGTAGTTCTCACCAACTCCCCTGACATTTCTAAATTTTCCTGAGGAATATCAGTCTGCATACTTAAAAAGGCAGGTGAGCGCAAACGAGCATGGAATGAGTCCCAAAGGCCTGTTAACCTTGTGGGTGAAAGGAATAGAAGAAATATGAGCAAAACTCACCTAAGGTACTTAGTACGTAGAGTATATACATAACAACTGGGAAACATAGGTGGCCTAGTTTATCTTTCAAAATTTTAGAATAGGTATTATGAAGTTCGAAAGCAATCTCTGTATTTTAAAATTATAAATCCTCAGAACATTAGAGAATTTCCTTGATGAAGACATTATGATCTCAGGGCATGAAATTCTGACCAATTAAAATGTTAGGCAATGGGAACAAGATGCCTTTGAAGAGTAGGGTAAGTAAATTGGGCTCATGGAACTCACTTGGGTTGTCTAGTCACATCCAAAGCACCATCCTTTATTTCTCCATTCTTAGCCCTTTCACATGAAGCATGGACTAGGCTGGCTACAGATGAGAAAGATGTCAGTGCCAGCCTCAGAATCACTGTGCAACTGTCCAGATAAAAGGCATCTGCAGTAGAACAGAAAGGAATAAAAACAGAAGTTAACTTCCGGTTCAGACTATACAAAGAGTAAATTCTTCCCTTCTTGAGAGATTTGTTAAAGCTGTTCTGAAAAAGCAAAAGTCAAACCAATTCTATTAACGTTTTATCAGATCTCACCTGGATGGCTAGTTACATGGAGGTGGAAATATGAAATTTTTTTTCTTAAAGTGAGGGGTAGAGAACAGAAAACTTATGTCTACTAGGCAACTTGAGAGCCTAAAGTGTACAGCCAGCAGGCAAAATTCAGCTAGCTCTGTTTTTGTAAATAAAGTTTTATTGAAATACAACCACACACACTTGTTTACATATTGTCCATGGCTGACTGTACATTCCACTATAAAGCTCAGTAGCAACAGAAACTATATGGACTGCAAGGCCTAAAATACTGCTGAGCCCCTTACAGGACAACTTGTAGACTCCTGAAGAGAAAATTGTTAGATATGATGACAACCCATCAAAAAGTGGTCCAGGAAATAGGTTGGAATTACAAGCCATTTTAGAGGGGAAAACATCTTGTGTGTATTTCCATGTTTAGGAAGCTGCAGAGTTCAACAAAAAACATAGACTTTGGAGTCAACGATAGTGTTTTAGTTCAAATCGTGGCTCTCACATACACTAGTTGTGTGATCTTGGATAAATAACTAAACTACTCTGAATCTTAGCTTACTTACATATAAAGGGATGCATAACCTTGCATAAATTAATATCTCTGTTTCATCTTTCTTTTCTTTTCTTTTTTTTTTTTTTTTGGTACCGAGGGGATCGAACTCCGGTCCTTGCGCTTGCGAGGCAGGTGGCAGGACTACTGAGCTAAATTTCCAGCCCTCTGTTTCATCTTTAAAGTAGAAATTACATTAGCATCCCTGCTTCACAGAGATGGAGTGAGAATTAACTGAGTTAACAGAAAACATTAAGAGCATAGAATGTACTAGGAACATGGTGATCATGGTTATCACTGAAATATCAATAAAATAATCTCTATGAAGCCCTAATTTATTGTCCAACACAAAACTGGACACTCCATTAGCAGTGATAGCAGTTTCTCCAGTAGTTTAAACAATCCTCAAATCACTTTTCTATTATTTCTTAAATTTATCTTGATAATCATCCCATTTTTTTTGCTTTTTCAGAACCAGTATCAACTTTTGCTTTTAAGTGTATCCAGGTTGTGCTAAGAGCCATCACAACTCTGAGCGCTCCCTAGGACAAAAGCTCTTTTTCCTTAGCCTGGCATTCAGTAACAGTTCACAGTCTGATCCCAGACCTGCTTTTTCTTTCTGCACACTTACTTTCTACTGTCTCTTGACCAAAATCCTCTTGTTCCCCAAAAGACTTTTCAAACAATTGAGGCCTTTGCACTCCTCCTTCCCTTTTCATTGTGTTAACTCTCTCCTCCTCTTGGCTCCTTCTCCAAATCAGTCTTGCCTCCCACCAGTCTGTGACCTATTTGAGGACTTATTTTATGGTGCCTTTTATTATATATAATATGGTATAGCTGTTCAAATACATAGATATATAGATAGATGGATTGAATTCAGAAATAAATTCCCAAGTATTCAACAGCCTTCCTATACATACATAATTGCAATTATTTTCTCTTTCTAAAATACCTCCTTGCTGCCTAGCACTGTGTGAGCAGGTGTAAGAGAAGCTATCCATGCTTACCTAGCAGAGGTGTGTACCAGACTGGATGTTTCAAGACCAAAGATGTCTGGTGAATTCTTGCTTCCTGATCCCAGTGTAGTTTGCCACAATAATGCTTCTGAACAGAAAAACCAAGCATTATTAGCTCTTTAAAGGAATGCAACATGACATAATTCCTCAGCTCCTTTCTTCCTATTCTAAGATAGGAAGTATAAAACTGGTCTCAAATGACCCTGTGAAAGAGGTCAGGAAGAGGATAAATGATGTCAAACAAAGTATTCATGCTTCTGATCAAAAGGCTTATCATATGAGTAAATTAGAATTCTTATCTAAAAATAATTTTTCAAAAATTTAACAGAATACTCTTATCGCCAGTTTCAAGAAACTTATATTTTGATATAAACAAAGACTTTGGAGTGAGGGGCAAGCCAAATTACATAAATCTTCATGTTACTGCAATTATAACCTTTAAAATACTGCCATTTCTTAGGACCAACTAGGATAGTGTATGAAATTTTTAAAAAATATCCATTGCTTATCTGGTAATGATTTAAATACAATCAGTGTGTTTACAGTTCTAAGGCTATTAACACATAATGGACTCAAGTTTCCATTTTGGAATGGTAGCTAATTCACAATTCGTACTTGCATAAGTTCACAAAGCTATACTTACCAATTTTTCTTGAAAAGGCTGCTGAATTTTTTCTGTGGAGGACAGGGGATCGTGGTGAGAAGATTCCTCATCTAAAACATTCTGTCATGACACAATGGTGGAGTACATTGAAAAAATGATGAAAGGGTCAAAGATACAAAACATATCAGACTGCAGGGAAGATAATGACACTACGGAAAGCAGGCAAGAGCACTGAGTTCTCCTTGTAGGAAACATATTTGTAATTGTAAACTTCCCACTGAATTTTACCCATTACTTAAGTAATGAAATCCAAAGATTAGGAACAGGGAAGTATATGGTTTTGTCATTAAAATCTTTAGGTAGAAGCCAAAGAACGTGGTTGGTAACATAACTTGAAATGGTGAGACTGGTGTCTATGAAAATTTTTACAGTATTAAAACTGTGGTCTTAATCCAAGAGACTGATACATATCTGTCTAATAGAAAATTTTGTAGGTGTTCTTGGGCAGGTTAAAGCTTCTTCAGATATGGAGATTTTTTCCAGTTCAATTTATTTCAAGGATTTTCTGGTACTCTGCCTGACTTAGACACACACAAATACACACACACACACACACACACACAGAGTTTTTTCCTGATTAAACAGCTATGTCTGGATTATGCTCCAGAAAGCGATAGCAGCAAATATCCTTGTTCATTCTCCTTCCATCTCCTTCCTCCAGTGCCATCTTCACTGTTCCTTACATTCTTCACTTCTGAGCCCAAAACGAGACTCACCAATTATCATAAGAGAAAGAAATATATTCAGCTCTACCATAGATATCTTGAGATATCCAGACAGAAAGACATTGGGAAGTTTAATTCCAAAAGGAGAAGGATAAAAGGACAGTAACCATTAAAGTCTGTTCCAAGGTCCTCAGAATTTCAGCGAATGATTATAAATTGAAGTACGAACTCTTCCTATCAGAAAGGAGGTGCCTCAGATTAAAACACCAGCTCTTTGCTAACAGATAAGAGGGCGCGGGCAAAACAAATTCTGAAATGCTTCCACTTTGGAAGATGCTCTCAGGAGCTGCTCTCTAGTGTGAGTTCTCCCTCCTGTTCTGTTAAATGCTTTCTGTATACAGGGAACAAAGTCCACTGAAGCATTTTCTTCTAAATTGGGTATTCATGGTGAAAACCTCTACTATATACTACAAATTAACTTTAAAACCTTATATGAATTGGATATCTTCCCCACAACAAACAAACATGCACCTCAGGGGTTTTCTTTTACCTGAAACAGGTCATGGAGTCGTCCTTTAATTAACTGGTTTCGAAGTGACTCAATAGTTGCTATGAAAAGAATTTATACGCAGCTCATTATGATCACTTTAACCCTCTTTGCCCATAATACATTTTATTGCTTCATAAACTTTTACTGGCTTTCCATTTGGGGCCCGAAGGAAATGACAGGGAACACTGACTGCTGAGAATGGCAATCTCTACTTAAGATGGGAAAAATAGAAAAGCACATTGCAACAGCTAAGCCATGATACCCTTGGGTATTTAAAACTAACAATGCAAGTGAATGGTCTTCTAGATGTGAGTCACAGAATTATTCAATCTTAAAATAAGAATACAGGGACTAGGGGTATAGCTCAGTGATAGAGCATTTGCAAAGCCCTGTGTTTGATCCCCAGCACTGCAAAAACAAAACAAAACACTTTACAAGCCATTCAGTCCAACCTCCTACAGATGTAGAAATTCCATCTCCATTAAGTTTCTTCTTGATCCCTAGAATTAGGGTCCTACAATCCCAAGAGTCCTGGTAGATCTGGGACCTTGAGAATGCTGATGTCCAGGAGACTGACCTGGTAACTGGTACACCATGGAGCTATATTCAGGTTTACAAGACAGTGCTGCTCAGTTCAGTGTCCTATGATATGCAATTAAAAATATTTATCTTTTACAAAGTAAAAGCAGCAAATAAATATATGAAAAAATCTTCAACATCACTGGTCATTTGAGAGACGCAGATGAAAACAACACTGAGATTCCACCTCACCCCAGAAAGAATGGCTGCTATCAAGAAATCAACCAATAACAAATGCTGGCGGGGGTGTGGGGAAAAAGGAACCCTGCTCCACTGCTGGTGGGAGTGCAGACTGGTGCAACCACTGTGGAAATCAGTATGGAGATACCTCAAAGAACTAGGACTGGAAGTCCCATTTGATCCAGCTATTCCCCTGCTGGGGATCTTCCCCAAAGAATTAAAAGAATCAGACCACAGGGATATATGTGCACCCACGTTCATCGCGGCACAGTTTGTAATAGCTAAAGCCTGGAAACAGCCCAAATGCCCATCAACTGGAAGCTGGATAAAGAAGATGTGGTTTTTTTTATAAAATGGAGTACTACTCAGCCATAAAGAATGAGAAACTAGAGACATTTATAGCTAAATGGATGCATATGGAGGCCATACTCTTAAGTGAAATAAATAGGACACACGTGTAAATACCGAATAGTTCCTTCAGCGTGAGAAACTGAAAGTGTAAATACAGATTAAAATGATCAAAACAAATAATTGATAATTTGAAATAGGAAGAGGTCCAAAGGTGTAGGGGTGGTGGGAGGGGAAGGGAAAGGAAAGAAGTGAAAGGAAAAATTATGAGAAAAGAAAAAAAAATGGGAATGAAATCTATGTAAATAGGGAAGGGTGGAGGGGGTGAAGCGCACACAGGGAATGGGGAAAAAATTAAGAATCAAGATACATCATGTACAGGTACAAGCACCCAATGATAAATGTAAACGTATTGTATAACTAAAATGTACCAATAAAAGAATTGTTTAAAATATTTATCTTTTCACTTAACTAAAATCTGTTTCCTAGTAACTGTCAAAGTTTTATCTCTCAAAAAATGGAAATGGGGAAAAATACCTATTTAATACTGTAAGTTACATAATCACACAATGTCTAGTTGGCAACCTATCCTTTTTGAAATACAGCTGGGAATGTGAAAATAAGCCCAAATCTTTTGAAAAACCAAAGTAGATACAGTACTGATACCCATGCCCTTTATTCATGTGACAAATTTCACACATTGACACAGACAGTGAGATCTGAATTTATACATTATTTTCACAAGCTTGGCTGCTTTCTCTGCCCACAGGAGATTAAAAGCAAAAATCAAAAGAGGGTAGAGAGCTCTGCTAGATGCAAGTATATTAATAGCTATGAATATTTTTTAAAGCACTAACAGCCAGGAAAATTATTAACAGCAGATCTTCTGGTGTCCAAATCACAGAGAAATCTGGTGCTTCTTATTTTATAAACCAACAGTTTTATATCTTACTAGCCGGAAGAAATTCTGAGCCACGAAAATAATACTGATACATATGAAAAGAAGACAATCAAATTTTAATTTTTTTCAGGAAAAAAGCTTTTAAAGCTTTAATTATACAGGATATTACCTATGGAAAAATTCCATTTTATAAAACATTTTTATAGAAATAACTTGCCAACTAAGCTTGACAAATAAATATCTCCTAGATCAGTGGTGGCGAACCTATGGCACACGTGCCGAAGCAGATAGTTTGTCCTAGACATAGTACTAAGATCTCATGGTCCTAGTTATCTCCAGTAGGAGAAAAACATTTTTAACCAAAAATAATTACATTTTTTCACATTAATACTTAGACTTATTTTCAAACCTCTCTGTGTTAAGTAAACTAAGAAACAAGGCCTTGTTCTCCTCCTGACCTACAAACAGCAACCAAAGCTTTCAGAAGTGGCCATCATGTTTCTGAAGGTCATGTATCTCTGAAACACTAAATCAGAATACCATCTTACAGTTATAAAACTAAGCACGTGCTGCCAAAGAAATAATGAGTGAGTATAACACTGTCTAAATTGTTCATCTGCTCTCCCACCAGGCAAACCTGGGTTTTAGAAATAATTTATCTCAAAGCACTCACATTGAAAATCTTATTTCAACAGATGTTTTGTGCAGTGAGTAGCAACTATTTCCATATTTTCCATATGGCAAAACAAACTGGCTTATGACCTCAATTTGCATGCACTTTTGAATTCTGTTTTTGGAGTTGGACATCCAATATCTCTAGGACCTTTGGGCTTCACACAGATGCAAGTAAAACAGTGACCAGTACATCCCCACCGCTGCCATCTGTGATGTAAGGTGGAAACAAGTGTCTCGGATGTGTCGCCTTTGAAGGAAGCTGAGATAAAGCCACTTTCTAAATGACTACGTGCTGGTGCTTTCAGGCAAAGGGCCCACCATCAATTGACTATTCAAAATCAAAATTACAAGACTGCCAGAGCTGTTATAATAGCAGTCAGTTATCAATGATGGTTGCCATTTATGGAATATGAATTCTTATAACACAAGATATATGTGAAAAAATCTCATGCTCTATAAAATCAAGCATTAAAAATATCAGGGTTCATTAACCACTGACTAAGAATACTATTCACACACATATATATCTAAGGACTTACATATATAAGAATGAAAAAACAAAGAACATAATTTTACAATGGGCAAAAGACTTAGATAGTTTACCAAAAAAGATACATGATGACCAATCAGCATATGAGAAAGTGCTCATCATCCTTAGTCCTCTAAACAGTAGAAATTAAAATCACTATAATACTAGGAGAGTAGCTTAAATGGGGAAAAAAAAACCTGACAGTACCTACTACTGGAGAAATGGAACACCAGAAACTCCCATACAATGCTGGTGGAGCGTGAAATGCTAAACACCATGGAAAAATGTTTGGTAGGTTCTTAAAAAGGTAGAGCTCCAACTATGTATGACCTGGTAGATTTACTCCTAGGTATTTATACTAGGTGACATAAGAACACTTGTTCACACAAAGACAGATGTTCATAATAGCTTTACCCGATATAAATCAGAAAGACAGATACTTTAGATATGCAAAATGGGAGAAAAGACAAATTGTAGAATATCCATACAAAGAAATACAACTCAACCATAAAAAGTATTACTGATAAACATAACATAGATAATCTCAGAAATATGCTAAGGGGAAGCAGACACACACACAAAAAAGAACACACAGAACTCTAGAATAAGCCAAACTACCCCAATCAGATCAGGGTTGTTCCTTGTGGCCAACCCGGGGGAGGAGCATGAAGCTGGGAAGTAGCTCAAGGAAACTTTCTGATAGAAGTTCTGGGTTTTGATGTGTATTTATCTAACTGGTTGAAGAACACACATAAGATCTGAACTCTTTATATTATACATTAAAAATATTTGAAAATTACAAGAACAAAAATAACACCAAGGTTTACGAAATAAGGAGGGTTAGGAAGAAATCACTAAAAAAGTATACGCAAAACTGTCACTACAGCACTAAAAAGCACAATCACTAAATTATTATTACCTAGGAAAAGAATGTGGATCACCCAGACATGCATCTTAAAACCCCTCACTGGATACTAAAAATACACAAAAACCACGGAGTGGAAATGCTAGTGATGCTTTAAATGGAACAATGTTGGCAGGGCACTGAGAAAGGGCAGATAGGAGTGGAACTCTCAGCTGGGGGGTGGCCAAGGCAAACGTGAGGAGCAGTCTCACAGAGAGCTCTTGACAGGCTGGGGTGAGTGTGTGTGGAGGAAGGTTCACATGCAGACACTTATTTTTAATTTTCTCAAAATAAAGTTGCAAGAGCTGCTGGTGCTTGTTAAGCAGCCAGGCTAAGGGTTTTTTCCTTTCCTCCTGAAGGTGGTAGTTCTTACGCCTTCCGACTCAGACCCTATTTCCAAGGAAATCAGGTATGAAACAAAAGAACTTCCCTATTATCCTAACATGTCATTCCCCATTTATCAATGATCACAGAAAAGGATAATTCACAACATAGAAACATGGTCTAGCAGAACATGTAGACCGCCTATAGCCAAGCTGTAGCTACTGACTTGCATTCATATTATTTGTAATTCACAACTGAGTTGCATGGAAGAGGATACTGAGGTACACGGTGATAAACTGATTTGCCCAATTTTACTCAGCTACTCTCTTGTAGACTTTGAGTCAAGACACAGGTTGGTTTAACTTCAAATCTTATGCTCTTAAACCATTATACCGTGATAATATTACTTCATTCATGTCTGCATTTTCATTTGGAAAAATCTATCCTATCAGAGCTGTTGAACAGGCTACAGTGACTTCAGCTTTCTCCTTGGTCCCGATTCCAAGCTTTAAGCATCTTATCTTTCAGCGTTCTTTGGCTCATTGCCCTTGATCGTTGGCTGCTTGGGACACATCTTGCATCCATCCTGAGATCTTAGGGTTCCCCTCTCACCCTGCAC